GAGAGAGGTGTGCAAAGTTGGTGGGGTGCGCCGCTCGCTTGTACGCGCCGCTCGCTTGTAAAACACGTTAATGCTTCGACTCTTTAGTTGTTAGCCGAATCCGAACATGGTTGTTATGGCTCTGCTCTTCACAACATTTCGAAGTTTCATCATGTAGTATCAAAAATATCATAAACATGGAAATCAATTGTGTTTTGAAACGAAGATAAGTCCGCGGCTTCTCTTTCCCCGAAGTCCCTCGCTCGAGCTATTGCCCGCGGCTTCTCCGTTTAGCAAGCGTACCACGGCTGTTTGATCTTGACATTGGTACGGCCTCCTGATGTTCTTCTCGAGCGCCGCTGCACTTCCTTTTACAGTGTCTTTACCTTCCGGGCTATTACAGGCCGGCTGGTCTTCTGCTTCGAAAGCATACTGCAGCTGCTAGACTCGTGAATACCTCCAGGCCCCTCCTCAGTTCTACCAAACTTTGCCGATGCTTCTCTTTCGTAAGAGTACCTTATTCGAACCTCTATGACGTTCTCAATGGATGGGAATTCCCTGGCCGCGCCATCTCTATCAGGCGCAAACTACATGCAATCAACTGACTCCTTGGCGGCGGCCACGAAAAGGAAAGTCCGATCTGTTTGCTCAAATATCCGCCAAAGAACGAGCGGAACATACACACGAGTCGACAGCTTCGACCCTCGGTGCTTGAACTGAAAGACGATGAAAATGACTAGGAAAATAAAGCCTACATCTTTTGTGGTTTTTTGTTATTCTTTCGGTAAAGAGAACATCCAAAAACACTCCGATATCCCCCACTTCAGGTTGTCTCTTTTACCTCTTCTCTCGGATGGGAACGGTAACGACTCCGTGCCCACATCAATGCCATCGTGATTGATGGTAGCTAGTAGAATAGGCTCCTACATAAGTAGCAACGTGCGTCGTGAGACAAACAAGTCTTGATGTTCTTTGAGAAGAGGCCCTTCCATGGTCTTCAATGCCCCAGGATACCTTTGCGCACCTCTAACAATAGAGGATTTCATAAGCCATGATCATGCTGACATGTCCATGATCTGTTCGATGGACAGAAGTGTCTTGATTTAGAATTGGAACTCCACCGAGGGTGTGGAGTGCGATCCGTAATACCACAATACGGATTCGCTTCGACTCGCAGTCGCAAATATCGCTAAGGAAGCCACGATGCTCATGAGAAAGTGTTGTCTTATGAGCAACCACAAGGGTTCTTGTTGCAGGCTCTACAGCAGTGATTCCCCTTCTTGGATGTTCGTAAGTGGCGTACAAGAGAGTCTTTTCGAGTATAGGTCTTGGAGCTGCAAATGCACATGAAGCTATTCACCTGGGGGTTGACTTTCTTGAGTGCAGGACACGAAGGCAGTGCACTATTGGAGCCCAGGTGACGTTTGAGGTCTTTTGGATGCTTTATTGACTGTCCGCATTGTTCACATCTGGATGGTGCCTTGCAGCTGTGCCGATTGGCATGTCGGTCGTAGCGGGACTTGTTGGTAAAAGACTTTGTACAAGTCTCACATGTGAAGCTCATCCCTGCGGGCTCGATCGCCACTTTGCCGTCTGGCATGTTTAACCCGACCTGAGTCGTGTCCTGTGGGCTTGTTACTTGAGAAGTGAGTTGACCGAGAGACGGCAATGAAGACGGGCTTGGATAAGCTTCAATGCTCATATCGTTGGGGATGGTTGGTGCTTGTGCATTTGTCGCCTTTGCCTGGTGTGGTTGTTGTGGAGATAATTGCGATTGCGAGTTTTCAGCTAGGGTCTGTTTGGTGGATTGATCGAGCCATGACCGAGAGTAATAACGAGGTTCGTGTACGTGTTGAGTTAACAAACTGGGATCAATACAACCGGATGTGTTTGAATAACCGGCGCCTGAGGTTCCGTGATGAACACTCTCGTCCAGGATACCAAGAGGTTGCGTAGCATTAACACTCTTGTTACGACCGTATATTGTATTGCCCAAATAGTCTGTCCGCTCCAACAGGTCACTTTGTGAACACGCATTGTTGCTCTCTGAACAATCAAGTATCTGATCATCCACCAGCGAGACCGAATCGTATAATGGTTCATCAAGACTGGATTGGAAAGCTTCTGTGGCAAAGAACAGACATGGATCTTGCTCTATGCGATGATCACTGGGTAGTAGTTAGCAATAGCGCCATCCAGCCATTTCCTCGACATTGCATACTAGTGGTAGTCGGAGATTGTTTAAGCGGCCTTGTATAGGCCGCTTAAACAACGCGCTTCTTCACAAGAAACTTGGGTTTACCCAGTAGGTGCTTATCGGACGCGGGGCTGCCGCGGTAGAGCCGCCTGACTGTCCGCGATGTACGGACGGTTGCGTGTGAGGCACTGAGGAAGCCTCAGCAGGTCCACGACCAGAAAATTTCAGAAGAGGAGTTGACAGAGTTGAGAAAAGAAGGGAAGGGGGCTGCAAGACTTGTATGTGTATTTACATCCATGGCGTAGCTGAAGCGGATCAACGAAGCGTCTGATTGGTGGCCGCCAAAGGTGAAGGGGCCGTGCCTATGATTGGGTGCCCTCGAAACTGATACACGCGATCAGGCATGGCCTACGTCAGTCGGGTGGCAGCCACTGTCATGCGGAGCATACATCAATATGTATGTGCGTAGCTGCATTGCTTCGGTGCATTACAGAAAATGGGTTGATGTGATATACGTAAGATTATTACATCTAGCAAAGCAGGGTCGTAGTTACCAAGAACGCGATTTCACATGGCCATTTACTGCTCCGCACTTCACGCGCCTGGTTACCTCCTTTGATACATGTGTACATACATCAAACTTCTTATCACCTTTGGCCTACGGGGTCGTGCTAGTCTCGTCCCTCTACTATGGTTTATTGATGACAGCGAATAGGATCCAGTGGTGTCTCGCGTCATTGAGGCGCAGTACTGCAGCCACTTGGGGCTGAGTACATCTTAGCAGCCACAAAGTGGATTGTCACAAGGCGAAGCAATAATATATTTCTAGACCAAGATATCCTCGAATTTCAGTTCGATCTTTGTCTCTATGGAATTATTCTCCCAGGGTCTTCATTATCAACGTTTTGTGCATAAAGTACGGAAAGATAGCTTTTCCGCCCCCAATACCCCTCTTTGAATGCCTCGCGCCGGACGTAATACTGCTCCTGGAAGGACTCTGGAGACCTCAGCCCACAACAGTGGAGTACAAACCGGAGCAACGCATGGAAGTGCTATGGACTCTAATCAGAACATAATATCACAAGTTGATTTTGGCAGCGGTAACTCTGGGCTTCAAGCCGGTGTCATCAACGGTGGTCTCCATGGCGTTACCTTCCACTACTCAGACAACCAATCGATATTCGGTAGCCTTATACAAGGAAGCCAACCTCTAGACACATCCACCTTGGAGATTCTCGCAAGAAGAGCTCAAGTACAAGCCGGAAGAAGTGTAAGTACAACACTAGGCAGGAGCGGCAGCAGCATCGTCAACGAAGAGAACCCTTCTAAGAAAACATAGGTGCCCAGGCAGTTACGGGACAGATGCTACGCTCCATACAAGACCGTGAGGAATCGAGGGATAAAAATGAGATTGCTTCAGATCGCCCATGTCACCAAATTTCTCGATCGAGGCTTCGCGGAATATTTCCAAGTCGCCGTGCTCTCGTTTGGCAAGCAACATGCCCAGAAGCTACTACAAGATGCCCGCAAGACCATAGCCAGGATGCAGAACAAGCAAGACGACCCTGACTCTGCTGACATTGGCGATCTCGGCCACTTTTGCGAGCAAAGCGCAATCACATCGGGTGACTCTGAGCAGCGGCCTCCAAGATTCACAGTTACCCAGCGGCGCGACGAAGAAACTTTACACTATCTACAAGATGCACTCGAGATTCCTTACTGGGAATTCATGGTCGACATCTTCTTAGGATGGAAGGCAAATTCGAGTGCTCTGAGCGGAGACGTCGTGTTGCGTGTTTTGCACAGCACAAAACTGGAACTTCTCGATGGACGGCGGCGCCTTATGGACGACATGGCCGCTTTGCAGGGCGATGATTCAGAGGATATAGCGCCGATTATTGATGGGATTGACGCTAGAATAAAAGTCTTGGATAGCCTTTGGGATAGTGCATCGTCGAATCCTCATGGCACTCATTATTCATTGGTCACCTTTTTGGAGCAGCCGCTACGCCAGCCTTTGGTTGCTGTTGAAGAAACACCGCTTTCGTCTCAGGACGAACAAATAGGACGTCAAGTGGTAGGAGCCATCTGCTGCTTCTTACGTTATAGAAAACGCTAATATGTCAATGTAGGAAACTGCAACACTGATCGCCTTGATCCTACTCTTCATCATCGTTGCTATAATCCCTGGATACAAAGCTTTCGCGCTTTCCATGCAAGATAGTGCGGTTGGAAGCATCGGAGACGCGGATTTCTGGTATCTGATCCAAAGTAGTATCATGGCAGTGATGGGCAACGTCATCATGGTTGTACCCTTGCTGAAGAAGTCGTGGTTCTCGCCAGCATATGGTCTAATGTGGGGATTTTTTGCCCTTGGTCTTGCTTTTGCAATCGTCGCTGTTATCATTTACCCATTGCTCAACCCTGGCTGGAGCTACATGGTCGCTTTCTTCGGGTCCATTGCATCTGTTGCATCAGTGCTGATAATGACCCAGGCGACTGCGAGGGAGGAAACCAAGGCCAAAGTCAAAACGGACTGAGGTTTGATAGTGTCCAAGGCAAACAGCAGTAAATATAAATGAATCTAGGGATTGCGAATAACCATCATAACTTTGAACACACACACACACACACACACACACACACACACACCGCTACCTCAATCTTCAAATGTACCAGTCGCCCCAATACTCCCCAATAACACCCAACCCACCCATCTCACTCCCACCGGCACCACTCTCGGCCCACTCCCAACACAAAATCACGCATCCGCAAACCCTACCAAATCCAGTAGGTAACCCCACATCTCCCCCACGGGCCCTAATCAGTCGACACGCCAACTTAACTCCCCTCCACCAAAACATCAACTTCCCTTCGACTGCAATCCTCTCATCCCGGACACTTCCCTCTCCTCTCCCCCAGAAAATAAACTTTTTTTTTCAAATCAATGCATTGGAAAATATAGGGGGGGGGGGGAAAACGAGTCAGCAATACAAGTGGAATATCTGGCTGGTGGTATCAATTTTTTAAAGAAAAAAGGCGAGCAGTAGGAGAGAGGATTTTCGGGTTCAGCCCTATGGAGCGTTTGCAAAACGGAAGAGTAAGTAAGGGGATGGGACAATGTTTAGGCGGGTGTAGCTTGGGTGAAGAAAGGGTTATTGGAATGGAAGGAGGAAAAAAAAAAGAGATCAAAACATTTGTTTGCAAATGGTATTGGAATTAAGAAGGGAAAATTGGAAAGAAATAGTGGAATGACTTAGGCGGTGGGAGTGTAGGTAATAAGAGCATGTGCGGCGAGCACGTTTGATTTATTGAACTTGACATTATACTAATATTATTTTTCCATCTAAATAGTAGGTGTGTTCCTCACGTTTTTTTATCGTAATTAATCATATGTTCCAGTACGCGGTTGCGTGACTTAATATTTACAAGGTCATGTCGTTGTAGAGGCACTTGACGGGGTTGTCAGTGTAAGCAACCTGGGCGGTGAACTGGATGCACGAGGGGCTGGCAGGGAACTCGGGGTTGTTGACATTGACGCTGTAGCCTTCGCCGTTGTGGAGGGGACAGCCCTGGAAGTTGAGGGCGCGGACGCCCGCCTCGGAGTAGTCGACGAGGAACAAGGCGTCGTCCTTGACGATGAACTGGGCAAGCTCAAAGTTCTCGTCGGGGGTTGGGGCGACGCCGCTGTAGAAACGGATGCGGCTGTTGCCGAACTCGGAGAGGTCGACGTAGGCCCTGCGAGGAGGGAGGTCGGTGTAGAGGTAAAGGTTGCCGTCGTTCAGGAAGAAGCTAGCGTAGTTGATGTCGGGAACGCTGCAAGAAGCATTTTGCTTAGGACCGATGGCAAGTCCGTTATCGTACGTGCCGACAGCGCCCTTGTCGATAGGGCTGTTAGGGCTCTGAGGAATAATCGAGAAGATGTTTGTGGCGCTGGCGAGAGCCATGGTGGAAGCGAAGAGTGCGGAGGTAGAGAACTTCATGGTGACTGTTTGGGGTGTGGTTGTGAAGGAGTTTTGTTTTGTAGCGAGAGTGTTGTGAGTTGGTTGTGGTGGATGAGCGCTACAGCAGCAGCTCACTCGACCTTATATAGCTTTGTAAATACCATGCGTATGGGAACAAAATACGAGGGCGATGGCATATCGCCGAGCGTTTCTCCATAGCGCCCCCGCAAAAAAACCTATAAATACGATCGAAAGTTGAGGATAAACGGAAACGATGGACGGTGGTCCCAGTTCGGGTTGATGCGGTCGGCTCACCCGCTAAAATCCCCGGCTAATATCCGAAAAGGGTCTTGCTATTGGTACTAAACGTCAGATCGAAGGCGAATGGAAGGTGTTTCCCAGCCACAGGGTGTACTTAGGAAGGTGCCAAGATTTAGTGCAGAAGACCTATCTATTGAGGCGAGATGCCGGGTGTGAGGGTGTAGAGATGGAACTCGGAAGAATTCTTAGAAAGGACTAGCAGTGTGATGACGTTGTGGACAAAGTAACGACAAAGTTGGCTGTGAGGTTACATACCGCCGTATTTCGGTGGCAAAGCATGGTGCTCATGCAGGGTTTGTACGCATACGAGAAACTTTACACAGGCGGTAAGAAACAGCGACGTGGTTTAGACTGAGGGAGGAAACTGATCAGCAGCGGCAAGCAGGAACAGGCTAGGAAGTGGAACCGAAATGCCAGAATCGGCACCATGATCCACGACGGCGAGGGAAGAGCGGCATCGATGCCAAGAAGCATGTATTGCAAAGGATGAAGTGCATGTATCTATTCTAGTATAAAGTTCATGAGATGCAATGGCGACTGTGTGAAGTGGTGGGTGCGCAGTCGGCGGGAATTCGCGCTGCTACGCAACCATGCCACACCGATAGTTTAAGTTGACCATAGGTGATCAACAGTGTTGGCTCATATATATAAACATGAGTACTTTGCATTTGTTGGATACGGGTCGCTTACTATGGTCTTTTCGAGTTGCGGACGATCATGTGGCAGTGAGTCGGCAGTTGCTGTCTTGGCAGCGCTATTGAGAGAAGTGCATACGGACATGAATGCCGATTTAGTGTGGAAGTTCTCTTGTTAGCGATTTTCACAGAAGTGTGTACGGCTTGCTGGCACTGAGACGCATTTCAAGTGTACGTAAGAATCCATGGCCAAGGTGGAGAGGCAGCCCCTTGATGGCGCAGCAGCCAATGAGGAGGGCGACCAGGTATGACGTTTAGCGCGCCAGCTTCGTGCCCTCGCCTCGCAACGTCTTGTCGCAAGCCCAGGTTGCGCAACACCAGCCTCTTGTCCCTTTCCCCCCACGCTGCCCAACGGAGCCACATTCAATCATCTCATCTTCCATCTGTCGCCGTCATCTCCGGGCTCCAGCCAAAACTCGTCACCGTGCGGTTCCCTCATCTTGCCAGCCAATCCTCGGCCATGGACTTCTCCGACATTTTGTGAGTACACCTGGAGCTTTTGCGAGCTGCACACGACCGTGCAGCGCTGTGCGCCATCTCGCGCCAGAAGCTCCAGCCTCTGTCTTGTTGAATCGATGACTAATGCATCTCCAGTCGCATGGTGAATTTCGCCGTTGCCGTCTTCGTAGTCCTCGGCGGTATCGCGAAGCTATTCCCCTTCAACGACTTGTGAGTGTGGCCTATGTGCATTCGGCTCGAATGCTTTCCAAGATGCCATTAACAGGGTCTGGCTTCACTCGGCCTGCGCTGACAGTACTTCAGCTCCCACATCATCCTCGGTGTCTACCTAATAATCTTTGGTCTTGGTACGTCGGTGCCTGCCGCTATGCGATGACGACTGCTGACATGGCTGCAGGAACTGCCCTCCTTGAGTTCCAGATCCCCCAACAAGTGGCGCGATATGCCTCGTTCATGTTCTCGTTCCTCGGCCGCGGCATCTTCTACATCTTCATTGGCTCCGTCGTCGTAGGCGACGGCTGGTACCGCATCATACCCGGTACCATTGTTGGCTTCATTGGTGTAGCCTATGCTGCTCTGGAGTTTGTTCCCTCGATTGAGCCCCCGGCGAACATGCGGTATGCTGAAAATTGTTGAAAACGCTTCTCCTTGCACATCTGACGGTACCTAGTGATGCTGATGCCGGCTGGGGCGCCGAGCAAGTCTAAACTCGACATTGACGACGAAGAGGATGGCGCTCGAAGAGTCCTCGTAAAGACATTGTCCGTGCGGCCTTTCAGCCCAGGCGGTGACCTGGTCGCACGCTTTCGCTGCATCCAAAGCAGGGATTATGTGTGGTTGGTTGGTTGGCTGGCTGGCTGGCGGGAACGATGAGAGAAACGACTGCAGTTATAACAAGTTGTTGGAAGGGAGCCAGGTCTCGACCTGGAACAGACGAGTGGCTACTCTGGAATCTCAAGTTGAGAAGAAGAGCAAGTCACTGCTTGGATTGATGGGGGGGTGGGGTGTAGCATAAGTAGTGTGTAGGATCAACAAACAAGGTCATAGTACTTGGCGAGGGCTCGCTTGCTTGGTGTCCGCAGCATCTGGGGCGGAGACATGTTGTCGCATGCATGCATGTATATATGTATATATGCCTGTGTATGTCCATTGTCCAGAGGGGGAAGCAGGGTACGGGTACATGAGCAGATGCACGCGACTGCTTTTGCTTGATTGGATGGTGGCATGCATGGGTGGCGTGTGGAGAAGGTCGCGTTATCTATCGCTAGTCGTAGGCGAGCCGGAAGCCGATCCGCTGAGAGTTGGTCCGTTTGGCAAGGCTTGGGTGGCGACGAACAAGACTGACGAAGAAGGCGACTGACTGTTGGCGGCACAACAGCAGGTGGTTTGGCGAGCGTGGATGCCTGGGCAGCCGGTGTGCATGTGCTGGTGCTCGAGCGGGGGTTGGCTGGCGATGCGAACGGCTGCAGGCCGGAGAAGACGAGGGCGAGGCTGGACTGCTCTCCGCTGGCCGTCCTTTGCCTGCGCCCATGCTGAAGGCGAGGGTGGACGTGCTCGCAGAGGGTCATGGCGCCCGCCCTGGGCTGACAATAGCAGCGGCTTGATTGGCCCCCGGCCGCCATTCACCGCCTGCGAAGCCCATCTGGTACCGCACCAGCAGCGCACCTGGCCGAGTGGCCATGCGCTGCTGCATCACCACGACGGAGAGGCCCAGCCCACCTCATATATCCCCGTGCTGCGAGCCACACAGCCCTCAGACCTGCCCGTCTGCCCGTTGACTTGCCCTTCCCTGTGCTGCACCTGACCACCGTTGTACTCGTACGCCCCAGGACCCGCATAGTCGCCCAAACACACATTAGCGCCTGCTGCAACTGCCACTACACTGGCCAGCATATCTCGCCCACGCTAGATCAAAGGCCGGCACCTGTCGGCCCAAGCGACTACTTACGGCCTGTCTTGATTCACTGTGTGCAATCAGGCAACAGTACCTCACTGCCGTCCCACCCACTCCCTTCGCTCCACACCCTTCCCATTCCGACCAAAGACGAGGCTCCCGCCTCATGGCGCATCCCTCGGGAAGTGGAGGCACCTCATTCGCTCCTACTCCTACGCATCCGCACCACCTGTCTAGAGAAACCAGCAGAGACGAATTGGAGATGGCTGAGAGTCTCCGCCTACTGAACCAGACTCACGACCATCAGAAACCTAGGGCAGAGGCTACTTCACAAGAGCAGCAGCAGCAGCAACAACAACAGCAACAACAGCAACAACAGCAACAACAGCAACAACAACAACAACATGCCCAGGAAGACCCAAGATCCGAGATATACCACTCTCTTGAAGATGCCGTGCCCATTGCAGACGGCCCCCCAACTCCTTCAACAGCAGCATCGCTGCAAATACCCAACATGAACTACGAGACTCCCAATGCATCCATCACTGGCCAGGTTTGCAGGTATGTTGTCTGCTTCTTCCGCAATCTTCCCGTGTCATCTGCTGCCGGCTGTGGGCGTCATGTTGCAAAAGGTCTGCAAGGAAATCGCTAACGGACCCAAGTAACTGCAAAACAACGCAGACGCCACTCTGGCGCCGGTCGCCTGCTGGCGAGACAGTGTGCAATGCATGTGGCTTGTACATGAAGGCACGGAATCAGTCGCGGCCAGTGAACCTCAAACGCAACACACAGACTCAGCCAACCATGTCGGTACAGCAAAGCCCAACTCCAGGCTCCACCGATGGCAGCCGAACATGTGCTGGAAATGTTGCCGGTAGTCCGCGTGTCGCAACCTATGTTGCTGCCGATCAGATGGCCGCCGGAACATGCCCAGGTGGAGGCAGATGTAATGGTACTGGCGGCCAGCAAGGCTGCAGCGGATGTCCCGCATTCAACAACCGTGTATCAAAAACAGCCAAGTTTGCACTAGCCCAAGCAAATGCTGCGCCTGGTGAGAACCGCGGTGGGAGTGATGCTGCTTCGTCGACTTCTGCCGCCTCTGCGTCAACAAGTGCAATCCCAGCTTGCCAAAACTGTGGAACCACAATCACACCACTCTGGAGACGAGATGATGCTGGACACATCATCTGCAATGCCTGTGGTAAGTTGGTAGTGCCATATCGACATTGCTGTGTACTATCGATAGATGACTAATCCTCTATCCAGGACTCTACTACAAGCTCCACGGAACCCACCGCCCTGTTGCAATGAAGAAGCAGGAGATCAAGCGTCGCAAACGCATCGTACCAGCCGCCGACACAAGCTCACAAGCCCCCTCATCAGTTGCAAACTACTCGCCTCCACAGAGACCTTCTCAAACCCCTGCATTCGAGCACTCGGTTTCCCCAGATCCATCGACTGCACTTGAATCTCGAGAAGCCTACACACCTGAGCCACCCAGGGGTCCAATCGCCGTCGACTTTACACATTATTACAGCAATTCATCAGTAACATCGAATCCAGTGGCCCTCACGCCAACCGTGCAGCCCAGTGCGCCATCGCCCAGGAAACGAAGTCGCAGCGCGACTTTAGATCCCGAAGAACCAGTAAACCCACTGCCCCATCGTCCAAACGCGATATCAGCCATTTTGAACCCATCCCAGACAGAAGTTGACGCCAACATTGACCCATCGCTCTCCGTCCCGCTCCGCACAAGTGGAGGAACATCGCCCAATTTTACCCTATCCCCGGAAGAAAAGGCAGCAAAAAGGGAGAGGCTTAAGAGGGAAGCAGAAGCCATGAGACTAGAATTGGAGAGACGACAAAAGGAGTTGGAAGAGTTGGAAAATGATTGATATGTTTATATGATTGTTATGAAAATTCAAGTGGGGGAATGGTTTCTACGAATACCCTATGTTGCTGAATGCGCTATACCAAATGAGAACGATAATTGGGTGGACGATTATGGCCATCAGGAAACTTTATGGGTTTTCATCAATGAGTTAGCATGTTTGAAATGTGGAGTTACGGGTCTGAGGAAATACATTGTCGAGGTGTATTCCCTATTCGCTTTTCTTTTTCTTTTGCGATCTTGAAAGATTGGGCATTTACTTGGAAAAAAAGGCATCTGCATAGGGTCCGGTCGTACCCTCGATGAATTGGAAAAAGTAGTGTACATGACAAAACAATCCAGTCCCAAAGATTTTCAACAAGACAGGAAAAAAAAGGAAGAAGCATTACCACCTCCACCACTTCCCCTAGAAAAAAAAACAACATTCACCTCATCTTCAGAACTCACTTCACAACAGCCCTAACCCTCTTCCCCACGCATCCCTCAAAATACGGATTCCGACTCCCCTCTCCACTCCCCTCCCGCGCAAACATCCTCTCCTCATCCCACGCAATCAACCCGCCCTTCTCCGCCAACCGAATCGCCTGGCCCCTATCCTCCAACCCCATTGTACAAACCCCCTTATGCACCTTCCAATCCCGCTTCTGGCACGCATCCGAGCAGTACGTCGCAGTCCCGCACTTGCCGCAGCGCTGCAGCGCTGCATCTGCGGCGCCGCACGTAGTACACGTAGTGAGATCGAGTGGCTTGTACAGCCAGTGCGGAGACATGGGTATCCCGTCGCCCCAGATATCCATGGGTGCGTATTCGACTGAGAGGTGGTGTTTGATCCGCTTACCGGTTTCCCAGCGGCGTTGGGCGAGGAGCCGCGTGAGCAGGGAGGAGGCGAGGCGCGGGATGAGGGCTGCGGAGGTGATGTCGCGGGGGCCGAGCATGGATTCTTTTGGGTTGGGGATCCACGTTCCTTTTTTTGGTCTTTGCTTCTTCTTTTCTTCTCCTTCGCCATTGTTGTTGGCTTTTCCATCTTTTTCATCGTCGTCGTCGTCGTCGCCGTCGTCGCCGCCTGAGGCTGTGGTTTCGGTGGTTGCGTCTTCCAAGACGATGTTGTAGGTTAGCATCATCGCCCAGTTCTCGCCGCTGGCGTCGAGCTGCCCGAATGTGATTTGGTTGCCGATACGCCCGATTTCGAGCTTGCTGCCGGAGGGCGTCGACGGCTCGATGGATACGGTCCATGTGAATGAGAACCAGGCATCAAGATCGAGGAACGCGGCGAGGGCATTGGGGTGCCAGTTGTAGAGAAGGGTTGCTATGCCTATTGCTGGGGGAATGGTGATGTTTTTGTTGCTCGTGATTTCTGATGCTAGAGATTCTGTGTCGATGATGCTGAGGGGTGCGCCATCGAGAATCAAGGGTGCGTCTGGGTAGTCTGGAAGCCGGAAGTCCGTTAATGGAATGTATTTGAGGGACATGTTTTTTTTCTTTTGGTGAGATGTGGGATAATATGAGGATGTGCTGGGTCACGAGCAGATTGGGAATGTATGTAGTGTGTGAGTGGAGCAGTTTTGAAAATTCTCATTGGTTAGTTGGATACATGGTGCGTAGTATGCTTGCAATGCTCACATTAACGAGTTGTGTAAGTCATGTAAAATTTATTCTCTGGTTATATCTGCAGCTTCTATGACTGGCTCGGCTCGCCACCACCTAGTTACCTCCATATCCCTGTAGCGGGTGCGGCTTTGGACCCTTTTGAACAGGCACGCTTTCCAATATACCCGCAAACTTCGTGAGCATAACATCCGAACTGGTCATGGTGTGCTTGTACTTGTCGCCTCCAAATTCGAACAAGAAGTTCATGGGGAACCCGATGTCGAAAGGAACAGCCGAATCAATATCGTCAATCTCCTCTTCAGTTAGCTCGATTCCCAGCGCCTCAATGTTACCCTTGAGGTGGTCAATCTTGCGACCGCCGACAATTGGGTAGACATAAGGGTACTTGTGTCGGACATAAGCAAGCGCAATGCTGGTGATCTGGGTGTTCTTCTGTGCCGCGACTGCCTCGAGCTTCTTGGAGACGGCGATGTCCTTTTCGGAAGCGGGCCTAAGTTGACGGCCTTGCTCGTTGTTTTTGCGCTTTTCTTCAGTGGTAAAATTTCCGCCACCCAGGGCGCCCCATGGGCATAATGCCATGCCCTCTTCGCGGGCCATGGGAATAATCTCGCGCTCAAAGTCTCGGTCAGCAGCAGACCAGCGGCCTTGGTAAACACTGAACCCGCGCAATCCATGGTTTCGGGCATCTGTAGCGAAGTTAGCAACGTTAAAACACGTGGTTAGGACTGATGACCGTTACTGACATTCATTCGCCTTGCTGACAACCCATGCAGGTGTGTCACTGACTCCAAGATACAACACCTTTCCGCTGTTCACTACAGCATTGAGGGACTGCATGAGCTCTGGGATGCTCGTGGTGAAATCCCACCAGTGCACGTACAACAAGTCAATGTAGTCAGTCTGAAGCTTTTTCAGTGATGCCTCTAGTGATACGCGAAGAGATTTAGTGCTGTAAATCAAGTCAGCATATATTTTCGAATGGCTCCCTCCACCAGCACGTACCTGTTTCCTCCATAGTTGATCTTTAGTCGTGGCGCGTTGTTCGGGTCAGGAAAGCAGGTAGTGAATTTTGTAGCCAAAATAATCTCATCTCGTACTTTACGCTCCTTCATCCACTCGCCAATCCATGTCTCAGACTCCTCAGCCTGGTAGTTGTTTGCACTGGATCAATGTTGGCCCCGTAATTCAGCATCCAAAGTGCTGAGCTGTCTAGCCCAATCACATTGTATCGAATGATGCCGGCAAGATCAGAAGGTCTACTCACGTGTCAATAAAGTTACCTCCTTGTTGGTAGAAGTAGTCCAAAATCTCAAATGTAGTCTTCTTGTCGCACTTGCCCATGAAGTCTTGCCACGCATCACCAAAATTCATAGCTCCCAAGCAAAGCGGGGAGACACGAACACCGGCTGTGGGCGACATGACGCGGTGGAATTCCAGAAGGGACGCAGCCTTTGGCACATCACCGAATGGAGAAGGCATCTTGGATGATTAATGTGTAATGAGATTGATGTGGTAAGGTTTTGTGTTGAATTGGATTATTGTTAAACCCATTGTTGTGGGCAGCACACCCTTATTTATATGCAATAACAGCGCCTTTGGACCCACATGACATAGAAAGGCAGGATATATTAGTTAGTGTCTATATCCGGCTCAAAGTCCGTTCCAAACCTGAGTCAAACTGCCCAGAGGTGTCGGGGACGATCATGGTTCTATGACGTTAAGGCCGGTGTGAGGGGCTACAATGCTTATCTCCGTCAAGTGCCGAGCGGAAGCGTCAAACCTCGTACGTGTACCGTTTTGAAGCTGTGCAAAATTGCTCTTTTCAGAAGCTTGTTGAAGGCTATGTAAAACGAATGTGTAAGCAGATGGAGCCAGTGAGAATTGGTAGACGTACATTGGCCAAAAATGTACAACAGCACTCGAGCAAGAACGTCCATGATGCCCCACCCCGAAAGTGCAAAAACCTCGTGCGACACTTGTAACATACGCATCACCATATCCAGACTCGACCTTGCACATTCTTCTTCAGCAATGAGAACGTACTTGTTTGCTAAAAGAGATCGAGGGATTATTGTAGCCAGGCCAATAAGAAAGAGCAGTATTTGAATATAGACGATAAAAGATCTAAGTAACCACAACATATGTTAACTTTTTAGGGTATCCGTATCATGTAAAACTCCAGATAGATGCACAAGACTCAAGATGCAAACATCTCGGCAGAAGCGGCTAGTGCTTCTTCTTCTTCTTCTTTTTCTTGCTTTTGCTCTTCTTCTTGACCTCATCATCACCACCGGCGTCGACTTCGCCTGCTGGAGCACCAAGACGGACGTTTCCATACTTTTGCCGAATCTCCTGCTCAAAACTATCCTTTTCTAGCCTGAAAAGCGCCATGGTCGCTCTGGCATCCTCAACGGAACTATGCGCACCAACTTGTATCTCCACGCCAAGCAACTTCTCTGCTAGCAGCTTCAGCCCTGGTGTACGCCCCGGTATTGATGCCAACTCTCTAAACTTCGAAAATTTGGATGTATCGCGAATGAGGCGCTTGTCATGCTTCAAGATGAGCACGTCGAGATCGTTTTTCACGGCGTGCCCAACCAGTATGCGCCCTTGGAGCAATATCCTGAGGTCGTTCCGTACTTCGTCAAATGGCCGGGCGACGTCTTTTCGCATGTGCTTGGGCTCAATTCCAGAGACGGCAGTTCGGTAGTCTGTGATCTCAATGTGCCGCGGTACCTGTACGTAGGAATCGTAAATTTGGTGACCGTGATAGTTCACCAGAGACACTCGCGCAAGTGCCGAGTCGCGATTGGGCTCTGGCCCTACTCCAACCATTTCACAATCCAATGCCACGTATTTGCCAGGTAGCGCCACCTCTGACACGCCTTCGTTCTCGACATCGGGAAAATCGGGATGGGGTTCGAGGATCGATACCGCAATTTCGGCATCCTTGGCGTCGCTGAGAAGAGGCGTCTTCTTGAGCGAGGGCATCGATGTGCTCTTGGAGAGTGATTTCATCTCGTGTCGCTTGACTGATGCACCGACAGAGGCAGGCTCCTCCATCCTTTGTCGCTTTCTCGAGGGCAGAGGTTTTCTCGGAGTGTTTTTCTCTGAACCATTCAAAGGCTTTGCAGAGCCATGTTCTTGCTTCCCATTGGCATGCTGAGATCTCTTGCGCTTGAGCGAGGCCTGCGTCTCGTTGTCCGGCTTCTTGTCCTTGGACGCTGCTGATGTAGAAGGCTTGAGTCGTTGTTGCAGAATTTTCCAGTTGCTGGAGAGGCTACTCAGATCGATTGGAGCCATTCTGGAATCACCTGCAAGGCATCGCGATGTGCGTATAGTAACCTGGCAGTGGTTGTCGAGAATCTTGGCTGGGTGACTTTCTGCGCAGCAAAAGTTCAGACCCACGCTAGCACCTTCCAGATGTTGGCGGAAGCTCAAGCCCAAGCGCCGACGGCCAGGCGGCAACACTGCGACAAAGACCTACGGCATCGCCAACTTCATCACGACATTAATCCTCACAACACGGACTGCAATCTTCAATAAATCGAGCAATAGATAGCGCATCACCATGGCGCCCCGAGAAAATTCTCACGAGCCATCAGGCACTCCCGCGCCGGTGGAAACGGGATTTGCCACTCTTGCACAGCTGAGGTACGTGTCAAGCTATGCGCAAACTCTGGAGATGAATACTGATGCGTTGTTTGCAGAGTAGGCGTAAAGGCGTGGGTCGAAAAGGTACGTGGATAGCGCGCAGCGACGCCTTGCGCGACGCGAATCCTGGATCGCCAACACGGAGACAGTGAAATGATCACCAACTAACACCTCACAGGATGGCGAGAAACGCAAAGCTGAAATACTCTCAATACAGACACGGCAGGGCCGACCAAAGTTCTATGTGCATTACGAAGAGTTCAACAAACGTCTCGATGAGTGGATCGAGGCCGAGCGCATCGACCTATCTCGAGAAGTTGAATGGCCTGCCCCTGAGAAAGCAGACAAAAAGAAGAGCACTGCCTCTAAGAACGAAAAGGCGCCCTCAAAATCTGACCAAAAGAACTTGAAGCGTTCACGTAGCAAGCTTGATCGCGAAATCTCAGGCACACCAGAGTCAACGTCGAGCAACTTGCCAGGCAAAGCACCAAGGCCATCCAAAGCAGGTGGCAAGGAGAACCAAGAAGTCTTAGTCACCAGTGAAGTCACAGATGGCACTCCCAAGCCCGAGGATGAGGAAATGGACCTCGTCGACGTGCAAGACGCTGCTGCAGCCGCCAAAGCTATGCCTCCTCAGGACTTTTCGCGAGAAGACGAGATTGAAAAACTGCGAACATCTGGGTCCATGACACAGAACCAAACCGAGATCTCACGTGTGCGAAATTTGGAGAAAATTCAGATGGGCAAATACGAGGTTGAGCCCTGGTATTTCTCACCGTACCCCATCGACTTTGTAGACTCGGATGTTGTCTACATCTGCGAGTTCTGTCTATCTTACTTTGGTGAAGTAACGCAGTTTGAGCGCCATCGCACAAAGTGCCACCTTCTCCATCCACCTGGTAACGAAATCTACCGCGACGACTATGTGTCCTTCTTTGAGATCGATGGGCGGCGACAACGAACGTGGTGTCGCAACCTCTGCTTGCTCTCAAAGCTCTTTCTGGACCACAAGACACTCTACTATGACGTTGACCCTTTTCTATTCTACTGCATGTGTACGCGCGATGAACACGGTTGCCACTTTGTTGGCTATTTTTCAAAAGAGAAAGAGTCTGCCGAAGGCTACAACGTAGCTTGTATTCTAACACTGCCCCAATATCAAAGGAAGGGATTTGGTAAGCTACTCATTGACTTCTCTTACCTTCTTTCCAAGCGCGAGGGCAAGCTGGGATCTCCGGAAAAGCCCTTGTCTGATTTGGGTCTTCTCGGATACCGTGCATATTGGCAAGAGATCCTGGTCGACATTCTTATGGAGCCCGGCCGCTCCGAAGCCAATATCGAAGACTTGGGGGCTGCGACGGCGATGACTACAAACGACGTACTACACACTTTGCAGAACCTAAACATGCTACGATACAGCAAGAACCAACACGTCATCGTACTCACAGATGCAGTTATTGCTCAACGAGAACGACAAAAGGCAAAAGAAAAGTTGAAGGGCAAAAGAAGCATTGACCCCGACCGTTTGATTTGGAAGCCACCTGTGTTTTCAGCCGCGAGTCGTACCTGGAACTGGTAAAGGGTTGTTGACCATCTCCTTTTGCTCTTTTCCAACGGTTCTGAAGTTTTACCACAGCCTCTTTTTCCTCTTTAGAGAGTTGTTACGTTGATCCTTTGTTCTTCGAACTAGCTATACCCCAATACATTAGATTTGTTCATTCCCGGCCTGTAAAACCTGTCCCATTCATGCTGTTTGTTCGACAGAAGCTACAGGAAGTATGTGAAGAGTGGTTAAAGCTTATGTTTGGATGAGCAACTGAAAATCACCAGTTAACGGGAAAAACCCATTGCCCATAGAAGGTCAAGGATCGACATTGTAATGCATTACCCCGCTGGATGCAACTTCGATTTTAGACTACACGCCTCTACTTGTCAGGCCTTTTGATCGCTTGAGCGTGTAGCTAAAGTATGCATGCATGTATGTTCATGGCTCCAACATGAGAGTACATGCATGGCGGGGAAATCGTGCAAGAACTCATTCACACGACGGACAGCTATGCGACAGCCGATATGATGTAGCCGCACAAAAGCAAGATGAATGACCTTTGTTAAATACGATGGAGACAACTAATAGGTGTCAAAGGAGGCATCTCAATAGCAGTTCCAAAAGCCTTCAATAACCCAAGTCCCTCGTGGATGGTAACCACGGCAGGTATTACTCTAACGTCATTTCCAATTACCTGTAACCACTATTCCAGGCTGAATGCATGTGTTAGTCATGACCCGACTTTTAGAAAGTTAGTATTGAAAAGTCACGTGATGAAGAATGGTCTACTTTTCTTTTGCCGGATGAGCAAGGAAGCATATTCCTTTTTTACTTTCTCAGCTTCAACGCATTTCTCCAGGACGATTTCGGCAGGGATCGCTTTCATGGGGAAGTGTGCATTGTAGATGTTGTTTTTCCTACTCTGCTTTGCAGGAACGCAGACGTAATAGTGGACATGGAACTTTCCTGGCTTGCTTGCACAGCATCGAAGTAAGTTGGTTGCACTATTGTTGTGATCTGGCTGGCCCCATTCCTGCGTGCATAATAGCTCTGACAATATGAGAGAGACTGGGTATATAAGCTGTTGACATTTGCCTTCATTTCTACTCACTCATCAAGCAACAACTTCTTTCTTCCACAGTCCATCAACAACCTTTCAATAACCGTTCTTCCGGCTATCCGCTCTCCCAACTATCAAAATGCAGTTCACTACCATTGCCTCCCTCCTCTTTGCTGCCAGCGGCCTTGCCAGCGGCGCCTCCCTCCGTCCTCGCCAGGACGCCTGTGACTATCACACAGCGGGTGACTGGACCTGGAGGATCAGCCGATTTGTCGGTCGCAAGCCCGAAGGTACCTACTACAACATGATTTCTTTCCATGTTGCGTCCACCAACCCGGGATCTTCTCTCGAGGTTGCCTGTACCGCCAGTGCCGACCGCATGGAGGACAGCGTCTTCTATTCATGTGGCACCGACGGCTTCGAATTTGCCTTCGTGAATGAATACAACGGCTTGATTTTCAAGTACGGCACCGAGTAAGTTCAATCTCAACTAAATCCTCATCTGGAAATTCAGTGTTTTTTTACTTTCAAGTATACTAATATTTACTCCTTTATTACAGCAACCCGATTATGGGCACTGTTACTCTCCCTATCGTCTGCCGTGCGGGCGGCGCAGGCCCTAACGACCAAGTCTGCGAGACTTTCCAGGATCGCTGCGTTACGCTTCTTGCCCACCCTAGCAAATAAGCGGGAACATCTTAGGATATCATTGGAAGGGATAATTGATGCAAGACGTGCATAGGGTGATTAATGGTGGAGATGTGGTTGTCAACTATAATAGTAATTAGCGTACCTAATTTGAGCATTCAACCCGTCGAGTCAACTAAAGTGTAACTATCCCTAGATGAAACATGTGCTACTGTCTAGATGCTGTTGTGGTTGCGCCGTCGTTGAACAAAACATGAAGGAAAAGGCGCATAGTCTGCATGCAAGTCAACCCCCACTCCAATCTGGATACGTACCGAACCATGCAGGTGCAACCAACCATGAGCCCAAAACAGCCCTACTTGCATACCCCACATACCTTTCACAACAAGCCTCAACATCGGACCATCGGACGAAGTCGCACGACAATATCTCCACGTGAAACACATGTCGCGCCGAAACATGCACGCTTGAAACTTCAAAAGTCCCTCGTGTCCACGTGACACACGCGACGCGTTCCTATAATACCAAACCCTCACCCCTGCCCCTCTTACCATCCCCAAAATATAAAAAAAAGATACACCAACACAATGTCGCTTCTTGCCCGCGCCAAAGATCTGGCGCTGAATCCAGACCACACCCGATGGATAACACCTCTCCTCCTCGTCGCCGACGCAGCCCTCAGCGGCGTGATAATCGAGAAAATACCGTGTTCGTTCTTACCCACCCCCCGTTTACACACGTGGCCTCGACATTTCCGTACTCCCACTCCCTCCCCCTTTCTTATAGCAGAGAGTAGAAGAAGAGAAGAAAAAAAAAAGCTCACCCAATAATATCGCCATATTGAAACCGCTTTATTAATTCCAACAAGCAAAAACTGATTTTGAAAATGTACAGATACAGAGATAGACTGGTCAACCTACATGCAGCAAATCGCCATCTACCTCAAAGGCGAGCGCGACTACAAGCTCATCTCCGGGTCTACGGGTCCACTCGTGTATCCCGGTGCCCATGTATGGATCTACAAGCATCTGTACAAGTGGACGGATGAGGGGCGGAATATTGCGCTTGCGCAGTATATTTTTGCAGTCGTGTATTTGATGACGCTTGCGCTTGTGATGCAGTGTTACCGAAAGGCTAGGGTGAGTTTTACCCTTCTTTCTTTTTTATCGACTGATTGACCTCTATCTGAGGGTTTTGGAGGTTGGATTTTAGTGCTGATGGTGATATAGGTACCCCCGTATATTTTCCCACTGCTCATCTTGTCAAAGCGGCTACATAGCATTTTCATGCTGCGTTGCTTCAATGATTGCTTTGCTGTGTTGTTCTTCTGGTTGGCGGTTTACTGCTATCAGCGCGACCAGTGGCATTTGGGAAGCGCGTTGTATAGCACGGGGCTGAATGTGAAGATGACTCTGCTTTTACCGCTGCCGGCAATGGGAATGTTGATGGTGATGAAGCTGGGTGGGAGGGAGGCATTGACCCAGGCTATGATTATTGGACAGATCTCCGTACGTATAACTTCCTTTCCCCACATACACATGGGCACAAATTGTTTCAATACTAATCATTCAAAAGGTTCTATGGGGCTATCCCTTCAGGAAACGCGCACCCAGCTACTTTGCTCGTGCTTTCGAACTCAGCCGGGCCTTTCTTTACAAATGGACCGTAAACTGGCGTTTTGTGCCAGAGTCTACTTTCCTATCCCTGCCTTTCGCCCTTAGTCTGCTCGGCCTGCATGTTGTTCTTCTGCTCTGGTTTGCACGAACCCGCTGGATCAAACCATCCAAGCGCAACGTCCGGGAATTCCTCAAGCTCTGCCTTCCCGTCCTTGAGCCTAGAGACCAGGACACCATGTCCAGCAAAATCACGCCAGACTTCATCATGACGGGTATGCTGACTGCGATGACGATTGGTCTCCTTTGTGCAAGAAGCCTGCATTACCAGTTCTATGCGTATATTGCATGGTCGACGCCTTTCTTGCTGTGGAAAGCAGGATTCAATCCAGTTGTTGTCTATGCGCTATGGAGTGCACAAGAGTGGGCATGGAATGTATATCCGAGTACTCCGGCAAGTTCGGCGACAGTGGTAGGGGTTTTGGCGGTCACAGTCGCGGGTGTATGGTGGGGGACAAGGAAGGAATACGAGGGCGTTACAAAGGGCATCATCGAAGAGGACCACCCACACAAGGAGTGAAGCAGTCTGTATGAGAAAACTCACTCCTCATCCGAGTCTGTAGGCGGCATCTTGCCAACGGTAGATTCTTCCTCGTCGCTGTCCTCGACGTATGTGGATTTCTTGGCGAATTCTTGGGGCCTGTAACACCATGTCAGCATCCTGTACACATAGCAACCTATGATACCCATGTTCATACCAGTAGCTCATCTTCCTCCACGCCTTCTCGTCCCTGACTATGTTGACAATCTCCCCATCCAGCTTATTATCCCTATCTGCCAGCGCAGATGTGTCCACCACTACGTAGCTACCCCGCTTTATCCATACCGTTGACCGAAACTTGGGCTCAAGTTCCGCGAGAACAGGCTTCCCGTCTGGAAGCTCGGCGGAGTAGAGATTCTTCCCTTCGGCCTTGGTGATGCGCGCGATGAAGTGATTGGGAGGGAGCTCGTCAGGCGGCGTGATGGTGCTGTCTATCGTAGCGAGAACCTTGCGCTTAGGTGGCGGCATCCTGTAGAATGATGATATCGATTGTGTAGACAAAAGGGCGATGTGTGGAAAAAGCAACAAAGATCATACGTCAGAATCTCTCCGTTGTTTGTTTCTCCAATGGAGGGGTTGCCAAATTTCGCAAAAAGGGAAATTTTGGCCGATCCGCCCAACCCCCCCACCTACCCACCGCCCGCCTGCATTACCCTAAATCTCGCAGTTTCATCACCGTTTAGGTAACGCTGCCTTTTTATGCATACCTCGGTCCAGATCTTTTTATCTCTTTTTGAAATTCTGGAACCTCCAAACTGCGGATACGTCGCGCGATTCGAAAGGGATCTCCAATGTCTACACCAGCGGTGAAACAGCATGTGACTCTGCTGACCGTTCAACGCGACGTTGACATACGTGGTTGGACATTCGTACTGCAGTGCAAGTACGAAATGATTACGCTGTGGTATTTGATAGGTGTTTTAGCCACGGCCTGGCTCTGATTCATACTCGCACTCGGTGTAGGTTATGGCGTTGGTGGCTTCTGGTTCCTTAGCACATTGTTGAGTAGCTCCTCATACACTTCCGCTTTGAGCATTTTTCAAGATTCCCCACATTGGGGCGCTCCCGCCAGACTATTATGATATGACTCCACTGACCTTGGGGTACAATTGAGTTATAAGGACGTTTGCAATTCCCCATCCCGTTTCCCTTATCTCGCCTCCAGCCTTTTCGACCGAGACCGGCGCTACTGTGATTGGCTGCGGCCTTGAGTACTGTGCTTTCCTCTTCAACGGCCGTCGTGTGGCTTTCCAAACACGCTGAGGACTCGTTAAGATGTCGGCGCCATTTCATAGCCTCTTTGATATTCAGCCTACCTCCCAAATCGCCAACCCCGAGCCTGCTTATAAGAAGAGTACGGACAAGGCACCGCATCATATCGGCGTTTTACCGGACGTTGAGCTTGAGAACTTTGCCGTGAAAAAGGATGGCAATGACCGCCAACAATCTGCCTCGAAGCAATCGCCGCAGAATGGGGCTGTGACTCCAAAGACACTCACTGAGCTCGAGAATAGCCGACCTGCAACACCGACCCATGATGATGGATTCGCTCGTGAGCGGACTTGGAACGCTGATCCCATGACCAAATGGAGAATCTTGTGCTGCTGCTTGATCTACTTTTCCAATGGCATGAATGATGCAGGTATGTAAAAGAACAACCGCAGATCTGCCAATGGCTGTTCAACAACGCTCTCTGTGATCCGGTCCTGACAACTACCAGTCGTTGGTGCACTTATTCCGTACATGGAAAAACACTACCACATCTCGTATACAATCATGTCTCTAGTCTTCGTCGGCACTGCGGCTGGTTTCATCATCGCTGCTTTCTTCACCAACTCGGTCCTTGGGAAGTTCGGCAGAGCAAAAACACTAGTTATGTCAGAGACCATACAGCTCTCAGCTTACATCATATTGGTCTGCACACCTCCCTACCCACTTGTGGTACTATCGTAAGTACTCGATCCCGAATTACTTGGCAGCACACTAACGAGACAAGCTTCTTCATGTTGGGATTCGGCGCAGCTATCAATCTAGCACTGAACAATGTCTACTGCTCACATACGCATCCCCCAAGCGTCATCTTAGGCCTCGCACATGGTAGTTACGGTGTAGGCGGCATTATTGCGCCCATCATCGGAACAGCCATGGCCTCGAGCGGTATTCTTTGGTCTCGCTTCTACTTCATTGCCGTCGGCATAAGAATCTGTTGCATAATCTTCGCCGCTTGGGCTTTCTCGTCCTTCAAGGAAGACACTGAGGATAATCTTCTGGAAACCACCACTACCCAACAGACAGCCACAGAGGAAGCAACATCGAAGCTGAAGAACCTCAAGCACGCCTTGAAGAACAAAGTCACATTCTTCGGGGCCTTGTTCATCTTCGCGTACCAGGGTGCCGAAGTCAGTATCTCGGGCTGGTTCATCTCATATCTGATTAATTATCGAAACGGTGACCCTCGCACAGTTGGCTACGTGACGGCCGGATTCTGGGTACGTTTCTCTGTCATATCATCGCGATGTGTAGTATACTAACAATGTTTCCAGGGCGGCATCACAATTGGGCGCTTTGTCCTGACGCATGCAGCACCAAGGATTGGCGAAAAGAAATTTGTCGTCATCCTTACACTCGGCACGGTTGGCCTTCAGCTTTTGGCCTGGCTGACACCAAACTTGATCGGTAACGCGGTCGCCGTGTGTCTTTTGGGTCTTCTGCTTGGCCCAATCTATCCTTGTGCTTCAACCATCTTTTCGCGTCTGATGCCCCGTAACATCCAAACGACTGCCATTGGCTTCATCGCTGGGGCAGGCAGCTCTGGTGGCGCCGTCGCTCCTTTCACGACTGGTATCCTTGCGCAAGCATCAGGAACTTGGGTTCTGAATCCGGTATGTCTCGGTATGTACGGAGCCATGTTGGCTTGTTGGTTTGCGCTACCCAGGGTGCGCAAGCGGACTGAGTAGATGGATCGGATTTGCGACAAATTCTACGTCAGTGAATATCACCATCCAACATGTTGATTCAACATGCGTATCGAACATTGATGGTGCATATCAGTTCGAGGCGTTCCACAATTGGTGGTTGTGAGCATTGCGACAGGTTATCAGAGGACCCACTAGCTCACCATGACATCATTCTTCAACACCAACGGAACCCGTGGAACGCGCGTTACAATGTCCCAACCCAGCAGCAGTATTCATATATCAGTACTCTCAGGTAGAATCAAAATCACACAAACAATTCCAAGACCCTTCAAACTTTGCTAAAAACTTACCGACCTTGTATGCTTTTCCAGAATCACAGCAAAGAGAGAAAAAAAGGCACCCTACAACATGTCAGCGGAACAAGCCCTCCAAATCCTCAGCATATCCACAGCCCTCATCGCGTCAGGCGGCATATCCGCCTTCTCCCTCTTCTCCATCCCCATGCTAAAATCCCAACCCGCATCGCGCTCCCTTCCCATGGTCCGCTGGCTCTTCTCCCGCGGCTCCCACGTCTTCCCCACCGCCGGCATCCTCTCAAGCACCAGCTTCCTCCTCCTCACCTACCTCTCCCTGCCCCCCTCCACCTCCTCCTTGCAAATCCTCTTCCGCGCCGCATCACACGGCCAACCAGCCTACTTCCTCGCCGCCTCCGTGCTCTGCATCAGCATCGCACCTATCACGAGTTTCCTCATGATACCAACGAATTTCACGTTAATCCGCATGAATGAGGAGTTGGGCGGGACGCGCAGTGAGAAGTCGGCGGAGTGGAGGAGCGAGAGGGGCAGTGGCGCGAGGAGTGCGGATGCGTCGGTGGATGGGGAGGAGGATGTTAGTCAGTGGAAGGATTTGAGTCCGCCGCAGGAGAAGACGGCGAGGCAGAGTAGTGAGAAGGAAGATATCGAGGTTAGGGCGCTGCTGGAGAAGTTTTCGAGGTTGAATGCGTTGAGGGCTGTGGCGATTGGGGCGGGCGGTGTGGTTGGGTTGATGGGGGTGATGATGGAGTAGATTTTGGTATTGGGGTGGGGGTTGTATAAATGGGGTAACCGGTGATGTGGTTTGTGATTGGTTGATCGAGTTTTGTAGGATTTATATTGTAAGATCTTCATGTAGGTTGGGGGATGTGGCTTGGCTCGAGTATACGAGCCAAGAATATGGGGTCATACGAGATGCGATTTGTACGATGAAGTTACTAGTTGTTTTGTTTTCACACACTTGAGATGTGAGGCTGATTAGTTACTGTTGTAGTTCGTATGTAATCAATAAAACTAAACTTATACTGCATCAAGGTATTAGTACGATACTCTTCTCTCAGCTCGCTTACTGATCCCGCAACAAGGGTTGCACTTCATCGACCCTACTGCTCCCCACATCGACCTCGCTATACCAAATGTTACCATCTAAAATGGACAACCCCACCCTTACATATACACTATCAACGTCCCCGCCACTTCAGTCATGTATAAACAATTCCCAACTCCCCAATCATATTTCTGACCCCATCCTGACGTGCTCGCCAAGCTAAATGGCGTTACCGCCCCATGCGGAGTCACCTATATCTGACATCAGCAGGGGTCTATGTATAGCATCTTACCAATGCGGGCGGAGGAGATTGGATGGCCAAAACAGAAAGTATGGTTAAGAAACAAGACAGAAAGATAAGATGCTGCATCCTTTCCTTGGTTGTAGATTTGCCAAGGATGATTGAGTGTTGGGGTTACATGTAGCATCTTACTTACAAACCCACTCCCCGTCGTATAGACTACAGATTGTGCTTTTTTCTATTACCCAGCAGCGTGTGTTTTTTTATTTGAGATATTAGGGAAATCATTTCAGCAAAAATGCACCGCGCCCTCACACTCCCCGAAGTCGTCCTCTCCATAATCTCTTACCTGCCCACCTGGGACCTCCTAACCTGCCATGCCGTCTCATCCGGATGGCGCCGCATCCTCGTCGCAAACCTACCTGCTCGAATGCGTCCACTGCCTGATACCTCCTCCACTTTTCTCCTCGAAAAAACCACGCTTGCCCTACCAGATTCCATACGTAGCCTAGCCCGTTCACTCGATCTCCGTCCAAAAGAGTTCGTCGATTGGATCATCCAGCCAGAGGTCGAGAGAGACTACCTGAGCTGGCGGATAGAAACAGCAGATGAGCTGCAGGAAGCGTTGAGACCGTATATGCATCCTTTGCTAGCGACTCATGTGCATGATTTGACGGGTGGGATAGACGATGTGATAAGGGGGCAGATGGGTATTTCCATTTTGACTTTGATGGGGTTGGGAGAGTTTGAACGGATGCTTAAGATAAGAAATGGTGAAGAGGAAGGGATGAAGTATTTGACGCATCCAGTGACGAAGAAGGTGGAGGTGAGGTGTTTGGATGGAGCGGAGTGGGATGAGGATTATATGAATGTACGAACGGCAAAGGCGGACATGGAGTGGTCGAGAAAATATGTTAGGGTTGAGCGGGAAAGTGGGGTTAGAATGTGTGATGTTGTTGATGAGTTGAGGGGGGTTATTGAGGCTGATTGGGTTGTGCAGCATGGATGTGGCAACGTGCTGCTAAATTGGCGCATGGGTGATTGTACCGAGAGGCATCTTTTCAACGCTTTTGAGCTCACAGGTTGATTGATGGATGTGATTTCGTCGGGACATGTACGTTTGCTGCGATCTGTAGATATCTACATGTTGTGGCGCAGGATGAAGAAAGATATGGATAGGTTCCGAAATCAAAGCGCCAACGACGCCGAGGTCCCACTGGGTGAGGGGCTGGTAGTGTCGATGAGACAGAAGACAAAAGTTTTTCAGAAGAGAAAGGCAAGATGGAAAACAGGTAGTGACACAGTATGAGAGGCACTGATGAGATGGCAACCTACCCCAAAGATCTAACCAAGTCAAGGCAGAAATATGACCACCGGGAGAGGAAAAGAAAGAGGAAGGGAACGTGAACTGTAACGAGGATGATTCTAATGTTTGTACAAAATATTACAGACCAGCATCCAGTGTTGGCTCCTTCAAAAACTTTGATACAAGAAAGATTCATGCACTGACACGAAGTTGTCTATCTATCGCTGATCTTGTCTTGCAAAGACGACAAACAATGCGTGCATAGCTTAAAAGTTCATCAAATCTAGCACACGTTAGTCAAAATCCTTTGTACAGATAGATAAACAACACTCTACTCACCTCGTCCAAAAAGTGCTCTCTTGGTCCAGTCCATGGCAAGTAAAAACCTTGTTCGGAGACTGACACTCTGGGCAAAGTATACCCCTCTCCACAGGTAAACAGCCAAGAGGCCTCCACTCAACCCGTAGCCATTGAGGTCGAAAATTGCGGCATTGCCAATATATGCCAAGGAACCCAGGTGCTTGTACTCGAATGCCTTGTATACTGCATCGTCCAAGTCACCATAGTCGACATTATTCAGAGCCATGCCTGGTGCAGCCTGGGCAATCTTGTTGAACTTGCGACCAAGGTACTCGCCTTGTTGGTTAGCGCGCTGAGCGGTGGCAGGGAGGGAAGTGAGCTTCGAGTCGATTTGGAAAAGAAGCTCTCTAAGCTCGCCAAAGTCGAGAGTGCCCGACTTGTCCTTGTCGTATTGCTCAAAGAGCTTGTCAAGACGGCGGAGATGGTTGGAGGCTTGAGGAAATCGCTGCTTGACACGCTTGGCAATGCCACGCCAGTCCGAATAGGAAATGTGCAGGCTTTCGGGATCCTTGCCCTTCTCCCAGGCCGTTGTACGGAGAAAGTTCACAATGTGATCCGAGACATTATTTTGTACGGTTGCGCAGTCACCGATCGCATAGACGTCCCCGAGGGGTGCTCCGTGTAGACGGAGGTGTGTATCGGTTTCCAGAGCGTGTCTATTGTTCTGACCATCGAGTTTAGCAGCAAGACGCTTGCAAAAGTCTGTTTGAGCCACGCCGGTAGACCAAAGACAGAAGCCCATGGGAATTTCCTTGGTGACGAATTTGCCGTCTTCGCCTTTCTGTGTGAAGAGAATCCGGTCTGATTGAACCTCCTTGACGCGGGAGTTTGTGAGGATGTCGACCGAGTCGTGCGCAAAGCGCTGCTCAGCATACTGCGATAGTGCTTCGTCATAGGTATTGAGAATGTGGCCACGCGACTGAATTACGTGAACAGAAATCTCGTTTCGCAAAAGCTTTGGGTATAGCTTGCAAAGGTCTTCGTTAAGCATGTCAAAGAGCTCAGCCGCGAACTCTACACCAGTAGGTCCTCCACCACAGACCACAAATGATAAGAGTCGCCGCCTCTCTTCATCTGAAGTTGTGGGCAGACACGCGTTTTCGAGGTTCTTGATCACCTGGTTGCGGATGATCCTGGCATCGCTGATGTCCTTGAGGAAATGGCAGTGTTCTAGGCCCTTGACACCGTGTGAGTTGGACACAGATCCAACACCAATCACCAGCTTGTCGTATGGAACGTAAAACCGTTGTTCCTTGCCTTGGGCATCTATAGCTGAACACTCAACAAGCTTCTCCGAAAACTCGACGTCTTCGGCTTTTGCCTTGAGGAAATGTCCACGCACTCTCCTCACGATCCTTCGGACGGGCTCAACCAGCGACCGCAATTCCAGCGTGCCCACGGTTGCAGACGGTAGCATGGGCGTGAAAAGGAAGGTATTCGATGGCGAAATTACTGTGACGTGATAATCATCCTCGTGCAGTTGTTTCAAAAGCGCGACGCTTCCCCATCCCGTACCTAAAATGACCAGCTTGGGTTTGTGTTTAAGCTGTTTGTTCTCAGGGCTCTCGTCATCGTCTACAAAGTAATTGGCAATCGGAAGGTTCTTTGGCCCGCCTCTGGGTGGATTCAGGGCAAGTTCTGATACGGGGAGGTCTTCGGTGATAGGGTCCTCATTGTAGGTGTAGGCATCGTACACGAAGAAGCCGGCGACGAGAATGCCGCTCACAAGGACGAAGGAGCCGAGGGTTGCTATTGTCCTGTATGTATACCGCACCAACCGTGACCTTTCTGCTGGGTGTGTCCTCGTAGATTGGCTTCGTATGACGGTAGAAGCGGGATGCTGCTTGCTCAAGGGGGATAACTGCAGGGTAGCGCGTTTGGACGCAGACACGGGGCTGCCATTGCTAAAGGAGGTGCGGAATTGGGAGGCCGGAGGGCGAGGAAACCTTCTACACAGAAGAGAAGCTCTAGAGGTGATGTTGTATCCGCGCGACAGCGATGTGGCGTGTCGTGGGAGCATTGCGGAGGATCCGAGTGATAGCGAGGCAACCGGGAGCAGGAGTGGGAGTAGTGATTAGGGAGATTGCGGGCTGAACGCGCCCGAAAGGTATGTCGGCAATTGGACCACAATTGCAAAATTAACGCAGCGATATCATATGGAAGGAGCAGCAAGTGCACTCTGGATATGTCACAGTTGCGTAGAGACAAGTAAAAACGGATGCTGGGAAGCGCGGAAATGTTTGTTGGATGCCGGGTTACGTCACCATCAATAATGATGGGTTGATGGCTGAACTCGGATCTTGCCGGCGATCCCTGCATGCCTGCCAACCAGATATTCTGCACGCACTACCACACATATGCACACGACAGTCGCGCAACTGTTTCGGAAAGGAGAATCGCAAAGATAATATTCTACATAGATATACTATGTGCCGTGTATAGAAACGCCCAAGCGTTAAGAATACAGCAAACGAGGGCAAAGATCATCTTCTAGTCGTACAACACCATCACCATGTTCATGCCTGGCCATGTATGCGTACACTCCAATCGTATATACATCCATCTCTTTAGCCACCACCACCCCGATACTTCTAGCACGACCAAATGCCAACTGTGCCGTCCTTGCGTCCTTCCACGAGATAGCCATCTTTGATCCTCACGTGCTCGATGATTGAGTGTGTTGTCGTGTCCTCTTCGTTGGCACCGGGTCCACAGTTCCAGTGTCTTCCGTCCGTCTTGTCATAGACCTTGACCACGTCCTCACCAGCTGCACTGACAATACGACGCGAGTCGAACATCATGCTAGTTACAGGGTGGTCATAGGCGTAAGCATCGGCGATGGCGCCAGTTCGGAGATCCCAAATCTAGATTCCAGGTTAGCGGCATGATTGTGTGTAAGACTGACTCCAACTTACGCGAATGCTCCTATCGGCGCTACCGGTGACCAGGTGAACATCGTCAAATTGCAGAGCAGTGACAGGGCCAGTGTGGCCAACCAGACTCCTGTGTACCTGACCGCTTCGCAGATCCCACAGGCGAACCATTCCATCTGCGGTACCACAGGCGAGTGCAGCATCGAAGACTTGGATGGCTCCAACAAAATCAGCAGCACTGTCGGTAGCGCGGCCAGTCTGTTTCCATCCACTGTTGGTCGTGTTTGCGGCGGTTGCTTGCGCAGCAGCCCAGAGCACATCCAGCGTCTGTACACAGCGTCCTTTGACAAGATCCCATTGCCTGAGCGTCTTGTCGGCAGAACCAGAAACCAATGTGTCGCCGCGGAAGTGAAGAGCCGTGACTTCGTCAACATGCGATTCCAGAGAAAACATGGGACAGTCTTGCATGCTAGTCGACGGAGGCGCGGGGGGCGCGTCTTCTGCGTTTTCGAATGCAAGACCGTCATCACTTTCCTCGTCTTGCTTGTTTATCCGGTTGTCCATAGGCGCATACTCGGCTTTGCTCAGATCCCACAGCCGTATCGAAGCGTCCATCGAACCAGTGGCGACAATGTTATCCTCGACCTGAAGGCAGCGCACCGAAGAGAGGTGACCCTCGAGCATTCCTATGCATCGTCCAGCACTGAGGTCCCATACGCGTACGGTATCATCCAAGGCAGCCGAGACCATCATGCCCCACGGCGCGTCAAAGTCCATGGCTGTGATAGATTCCATATGTGCGGGCAGTTCCTTGATCTTAGATCCTGATTGCAGATGCTCGTGCAGGACGGGCATGGACATGCGCTTCGAGAGGCGCTTGGCCTTGCCTCTTGTCTTGGGCGACGAGGGTATCTTTTGGTATATTGACTCGGACATGAACTCGCCCTTGCCTTCTGACTGCTCATCACTTGTTTGCGACCCTGCTGTCTTGGGCGCTAGGGCGGCCTCATCGTCCAACTCTTCCTGCAGGTCCTCGATCTGGTTATCCACAGTTAGCAGATCCTGCTCTAGCTCCCCCTCTTCGAGTTCGAGCCCCGCCAAACGATCAATAACCATTTTGCGCATCGTGTTCAGGTTGGCAATCTTGTTGTCGATTTCATGAATCTCAGCCACGCACATATGCTTGCGCACACCCATCATCTCGAGGCGGTGGGCCATTGAGCTCCGCTGCGTCTTGAGCTTGCGCATCGAGGGGGGTACATTGGGGTCGTCATCTTCGACGCCGGCGCCTATCAGTCGCTGGCCGCGCGCGTTGTGGCGGGCGCCCGAGGAGCGGGGGAGGATGCTGTCGGGCTTGTCTGGCAGCGAGGCCTCGAAGCCCTGGAACAGGGAGAACTCGCTATTATCCTCTGGAATATTTGCGAGCAGGTCGTTTGGGATGTAGGCGAGGGCGCGCTGCTGGATCTCGGGGACGGATATGCGCGAGCGCACGAGCTCGCGGGGTGTGGTCTGGGCAAAGGAAAAGACGGAGCGCTGCATCAAGGGCCGTCGCAGCTCACGATGGAGCTCGCCGAGGGCGTTGTGATAGTGCTGGGAGACGCCCTCTGCGCCAATTAAACTGCCAGCCGTCGCCGTGACTTTTTTGCCAAAGGCCTGCAGATGGCGGGTCTAGCGAGCATGTTAGCACGACGCTGTGTGCGGCGGGAGAAATTGCAGTGGGGCTGTCTACATCTGGCAGCGAGTCTATAAAGCTTGCTTCTTCGGGGCGCTGCGGGCGGTGCTGGCTGTTCTGTTGGTGTTGCTGGTCATCGTCAAAGAGCTGCGAGTATCTGGGGGAGCGCGGGCTGGTGGAGCGTCCGCGGCCTGGTGATCCATTGCGGGCGGTTGACGAGGCCATCCGAGCGCTGGTGGGTGGAGGGGGCGGGCGAGCAGGCGGGCGGGACGGTGACGAGCAAACGCAGTAGTGCAACGGGCTTGGTTATGTCATCATCCACGGATGGCAGCAGAGGGGCGGGCCGGCAGGGCGACGGGCGGTCAAGTCAAGGGCGTGTGAGGCGCGATAGGATCTACTGAGGGCATGGATACGAGCGACAGGCCTTGTCCTTGGTGTTGGTCGGCATTCCCGCTGCGTCATCCGCCGAAGCTCAGCGCCGAAGGTCGGGTCTTAGTCTGACCTGTATGTCCTGTGTCCACCACACCGCTGGCCACCATGGCTACCTTCTCTCTGACATATACCCTCGCGCTGCTCCCGCCCGACCCCTACCATGGACGCTGCCATTGACCTCTCCGACGCCTCCAAGGCGCTCGACCTTGCCAACATCCGCTTCCAGCTCATGTACATGTCTCCCGCCCACCGCGCCTGAGTCGCCAGCTGACCCTCGACTAGCCGCCTCGAGGACACAATCACCTTTCACTTGATCGAGCGTGTCCAGTTCCCCTTAAACCAGACCATCTACCGCCCGGGCGGTGTCGACATTGGCGAGCCCAACACCAGCCTGTTTGACTGGATGCTCCGTGAGCAAGAGCGTCTCCAGTCACTTGTGCGCCGCTACCAGTCCCCGGACGAGTACCCTTTCTTCCCAGACGTCCTCCAGGACCCCATTCTCAAGCCTATCAACTACCCCCAGATTCTGCATCCCAACGACGTCAATGTAAATGCAAAGCTCAAGGATTGCTACATCAAGCACATTCTACCCGCTGCCTGCTTGCAGACCGAGCGTGGAGACCGGGGCGAGTCGCAAGAAAACTATGGATCTTCTGCCACCTGCGATGTCTTGACCCTCCAGGCTCTGTCGCGGAGGATACACTTTGGAAAGTTTGTTGCCGAGGCAAAGTTCCAGCAAGAGACGGAGCGCTTTGTCAAGCTGATCAAGGACGAGGACCGGAAGGGCATTGACGAGGCTATCACGAATGCTGCCGTTGAGAAAAAGGTGCTTGAGAGACTGAGGCTAAAAGCAAAGACGTATGGTACCGACCCTGACCTCGGCGCCAATGGCTCTTCAAAAGTAAATGCCGATGCTGTGGTTGCCATGTACAAGGTATTTCTTACTTTGAATCTTATTATACGCCCACTGACATGTACAAATAGGATTGGGTGATTCCCTTGACAAAAGAAGTCGAGGTGGAATACCTCATGCAGCGGTTAAAGGGCACCCAATGGGAGTAACTCCAAAGATGGAAGCATGCAAAACCGACTTTTGGTCTCCCTTGGAATTCTGGAAATAGAGTGCTATGACACTACCCAGCCTGGAGTAGATGGCAATGCTTTTGTCGCCCTGCACTCAAATGACTGATTTGTGACACGCTCTTGCCGTATCATCAAGTAAACACATCCCATACTTTCAACAAACGCTTCTTTCCCCTTGTTTTCCCAGCTGCACCTCAAACTCCATCAACCAATTACCAACAGATGCACCAATAAACCCCTCTCATTCCCATTCAAGGCTCCTGCTCAGTCATAGCCTCTAACCGCGTCCTCACCATCCCCGGATTCGACCTCCCCCTTTCATCCGTCCAACACCTCAACACTTCCTCCCTCATAATGCGTCTCGGCGCCCTCTTCCCCGTAAAAAGCTCAAACTGCGCAAACCCCTGCTCAGGCAAAAGATCCAGGCCATCCAGACAAATCCACGACGACGACGCCGCCGCCTCCCCCCGCACCTGCCTCGTCAGCGGCGTATTCAGCGTGCGGTACGCAAGCTCGATTACCACGCCGCCGGACGGCGACTGCATCCAGTGCTTCGGCAGCGTGAAGTCGGGTGATGGCTCGCCGTTGACCGAGTGCGTGGGGATGCAGGATACGATGACTGTTGCGGGGCGGAAGTCATGCGGCCACGCTATGTCTCTTGAGGAGAGAATACGAAATGTAGGCTGTGTATCCTGTACAAAGGATGGGAATAGCTTTGCTGCCTCGGGACTCGCTGCCAGCTGTGTAAAGTACGTAACCAGCGTTTCAGCGTGTGCGATTGTGCGGTTGTAGATGGCAATGTTTTTGATGCCGAGATGCAGCATGGCGTAAATTGCGGCGCGGGCCATGCCGCCTGCGCCGATGACGAGGGCGGAGGTGATGGAGGGTCGGACGGCGTTTGCGGGTGAGAGGCCGCGACGGATGCATGAGCGGATGCCGATCCAGTCTGTGTTGTCGCCG